TGCTTTCTTATGTCGACCACACACCGGACACCAGCGAGAAACGTCGCGGCAATCCTCGTAAGTAAGGTGATCCAACCGGGGCGGGCGGGGTTTATTTCAACGGATAGAGACGCTTTAGGGGTAACGCGATACAAGGACCAACGAAATCGAGATCAAACCGAATAGCGGGAGGTCCTGAATTTGGCTGGCTATCGAGCCCTCCCCACGAGCGTCCTCTCGTTCACGATGTCCCGATAGCGGACCGAAGAATTCGTTGAACTGTCTCCTTTCAGACCTCTGAACTCTTGGGAAAGTAGGGTATATACTAGATTTATTTTTATTAAACTTGTTGGGGTATCAACGATATACAGGCCTGCTTTCTACGAGCCTCTCGACATCTGGGAACCCTTTGGTGGGCTTTTCCCTCTTTCGGGGGTCGTTTGGGTCTACAGGACCTTCTAGCGTAGAGCATAGTTTCAAATCCGTTTAGTTACAGAGTCCATAATTATATACCGGTTTATTTTACTATTTTTGAATAAAGTGTTATTTACTAAGACAAATCCGTCGTGTTGACAGTTACGTTGATATGCAATTTCGTTGACAAATAATATTTAGTTCCATAACATTATACATGGAACGTGAAACTGGACCGTAATTGTATTTTGAATCCACTTGAGAATCTGTCGAAATAGTGGTTGGCCATGTTGTATCGACCATCGGAGACAATTAGCCTGTGTCTCGTGCATCTTCCAGCAAGCCCTTTGAAGGAAGCGACAGGAAACGAGAAAACTCGTCGCTGGAAGGACGGCGTGGTCGGCTGGGATGTGACGTTTCAGTTTCTCGACGGTTCGCTGCGTCCCGATCGCGTTTGACTGACGGCACCAAAGCCGGGGAACGCGGGTAAACACAGATACAGCCTGCAATTCATCTCCTCGCTGGTAATCGCCATCGCCGGCTGATGAAATTCAATTTCCGACACTTCCGTGGAAGATTTTGAATCGCGTTCATTAGGCTTCGCGTCCCTTTCTCCACGGCGTTATTCCCGTCGTACCCGCCGCGACCGATGACTCTAACGAAATGGCAGAAGAGGGAAGCACGCTAGGGAACATTACTGGGTGCAATAACAGAGAGGAGCCGAGCGAAACTATGTCTGTGTTGTCCGAGAAATACGTCACGGTAAAGCCCACACAATGGAACGCCTGTTACTCGGATATTGATCCGAAGTCTCGATTGTGTGGACGTTGATTCCACCGACTCTCGATTATTCACACACCTGTCGGGAGATTCTCGTGCCGGAGATATGGAAGCGTCGTTTTACTCGGATACCCGAGGAGACATACACCATTACTGATTTATCGGAGTAAAATTACTCTCCCACGCCCCCCCCCTCCCCCACTTGTCCGAGTAATCGTTCGATTCCAACCAGTTCGTCGTTTCGCGTTGCGTAAACCACTCTTACCACCGTCCGCGCTCGCCATTTTGTAACCACGGTTGCCTTCCCGTCTCGGAGATAAATGTTTCATAATTAATCGACGATCCAGGCTACGATCGGCGAATAAACGTTTGCTTCGCGTCGATAATAGATCAAACCGTATTATAGAACGATATACTCTCCCTTTTCTAAGAATTCGTAATATCGTGATCGGTTTTTTCGGCACCTGGACACGCAAAGTTGTTTCTTTTCTAAACAGCTCGCGATAAAAAGGATTCCGAGCGATACAGTCGTAAATAACTGTTTCTGAAAAATTTCAGACGCGGCCAATCGAACCTCCGGGAGAACCAGGCGCGCCGTTGTCGCGAACGACCGATAACTAATCGTCGCAAAAACACGCACGAAGTAGTAGCGAAACCATCAACCTCGTCGTTCATCGTCCCGCTAAAAAGAGGCACAACTAATTGCCGCAAATCCATGAATAATTCAAGCGGTGGCCAATTCAACGTCGGGCTTGATTCATTCCTGCACGGTCGTAAAAAATTTTAAAAGACCACAGTGTACCTCGATAGACGCGTCAATACGAACGAGAATCCTATAAACTTGGTCCTCTGTCTCCATCGTGTTCCAAGAACAACGCAACCAATGAAAGAACGCGCAGAGAGAATGCTAGGAAACGACCTGGCGAGATCTATGAATGGAATCGTTCGAAGGGGTCCATTCTATCGTAGAATGCGTATTTTTATATTCATTTTAGGTTATGATAGATCTCGCGCGAGTCGGAAGAAAGCGAAGACGACCTCGGAGGCGCAAGAACCAGTAATGGGATATAACTGTTTCGAAGTCGTGAAATCTGTTATTGTTTATTAAGAATTGGTTTTTGCGACTACCCGTGCACGCACGCCGGTTAATGGACAGACGAGAATCGAATGCCAGGAGTGTCATTTCGATTCCTCGCAGCCCCGTGCACGATACTCTACCGCCGAAGCTCGTTACTTCGCCCAAGAGAGTTCTTTCTTTGCCACTTTGCGCGGCGTTCGAAACGTTTTACTGCTTATCTTTGCCGCTCGATGAAACTCCCGAGCCTCTTTTCCCGCGTCACAACACTCTGTCGAATCTATTTCTCCGATTTTCTGTTCAACCCCTCGGAACCACATGGTATCGTTGCATTTAAAACCATTGCAAGACGAGTAAAGTGTATTTTGTATATTATCAAACCTCAATTTCAATATGTGAATAAACGTAACGACCGATCGAACAATTTTAAAAGATGTTGTTTCTTGGAAGCAGAGCAAATTTTTCGATTAATTAGCGATCGAGGGTGTTGTTGGTCAGATCGTGGAAAAGGCGACGGAGGTCGATCAGCCGTTCCCAAAATCGTGTGTTCGTCGGGCATCGGGGATCGATATCGCGATGGAACCGATCTCCGGGCAAGGAGCGCGTGGGCGTGCAATCTTTTGAACGTAGCCGCGTCGAAGATTATCTCCATTATCTTGCTCTATCGCGCACGATCCTAAGATCTCACCCCGAGATACGATCGCGCGAACGATCGAGGATCTTTCTCGCGGTGGTAGAGCAGGGCCGCGACCGGTCGCTCCATTACGATCCTCCAGCGTGATCGTGGTCCCTTTCCCTCCTATTTCGCACAAATCTTCTCGCGGCGCGATCATCGCGGATCGATTCCTAAGTAGACGCACTCGAATCGTCGATCGTCGATTCACCGCTAAGTTTACGGTTACCAGGATCCGCTCTCCCCGACGAGGCGCAGCTGATCGATTTAACCGTCCAACCTTTGCCTCTCGATTACTTAATTCTATATTTCGTAATTGGTAACGTATAAATTTAGTAGCGTGATTCCTCGACGCGCAATATCCTAACGCTTTGATTGCCGCCCCGGTCGAGGCTCGATGCTCGCCGGTGATCGACGCTAATAACAATTTTAGAAAATGTAGGATATTTGTGTTGAATGTTTGTGTCACGCTGTAGTTTGGTTCGGAGATGTGTGTTGAATGTTTGTGTCACGCTGTAGTATGGAGTAATGTTAAGTTATGTGCAAAAGGATTGAGTGTGTTTTGTTAAAAAAGAAGGGGTTACCAGGGACAGCGAAACAACGGGTAGAGAGTAACGAGTGATTGAAAGAGACAGACGTGATTTGAATTTGTGTGGATAATTAACGAGATTTTGATTTGTGTAAAAAGATTGTGTGTTTGTTGTGTTTCAAATTCGTTCATTTAGTTATATTATTTGTACATTTGTTCCAAATACAATTCTTTTTCGTTAAATCCTACAAAAATAAGATTAATCTCGTCGATCAACATAAAGAGCGTAAAATAGAAAGTGCATTATTCCAACGATTCGTAATTTCGCGTATAAAGTTACCGGGTCCCCTGGTTTGGCACGTGAACTCCGGAATTAGCTACAAAAGCAAATGGCACATCGTTGTATTTAATTTTGATCGCGTTGCAGGCTTCGTTCGATTACGATCTATCGAAAATTAACCTCGTGGATCGATCTCAAGGATCGAATGTTACACTTTAATGTTATACGATCGACAATGTTGTTTCTTTGTTCGAATCTACGGCTGCTCGCTGATCCGTTTCACGAGACGGAGCAAAAGCGTGCCCTCGACTCGTCGTCGGGGAGGCTTCACTTGGTTCACCGTCATGCATCGGTGTATCAGCACGTCGTCCGGGTCCGCGGTATCGGTTTGGCGATCTCCGGACGATTTGTCAGCGGTCGACCGGCCGTGTAGCAGCTTATCAAATATATATCGAACACCGCTCCCATCGTGTATTTACCGAGGGCCCCGATGAGCTTACGTGTACGCGTGCACGTGCTCCCGGCCTGATTCGATCAATCGACGCCCAAGTATTGGTGCCCGCTCTATGACCGATACGAACCCTTATGGACCTTAACGTATCCCCGCGTCATTAATAAACATTATTACGCAACGATTTCATCGCGCCGCGTCACATTATATTAACCATATTCGATCGCGGCCAATAAAGCAGACGCGAAGCAATATTTCCTCTTCAATTTTTTATTGGTTACTTTGCTCTCTTATCATTAAACCTACCGGCACTTCGTGTATACCCATTCCTACCATGACCAGTCAAATGGCCAGTCTTTTTCTCTTTTACAAGGCAACGTACTTCTAATTTTTTCATTATATGTATAGAAAGTTGTGTTTTGAAGTTTATTCGTAAGATAGCCTCTTTTATGTCGCATATCTTTTCTCTGTACAAAAATATTCAATATTTTTACTCTAAACGTGCATTAGTACTTTAATAATATTAGTAAATTATTAATTTTCATCGAACAGAAGATAAAACGCTCTTGAAAACAAATTTTCTTTCGAGCCGATACCGTAGTTAATTCTGGAGAAAACAATTTCTTAAGAAAAAATAATAGTAATTATGCAAACACCCTGTATACAAATTTAAATTAATTTTCAATTAAATAAACAATTTATGATCCAGTTTTATCGCACACCAGTCGTATGATCAATAGGGAGTAACGAAACGTCTTTGGGTATATAGCGTCAAAGTAAATGTCAAAATAAACATAGAAGATAGCCTAAATTATAATAGTTGTTACGTTCATAGGATAGAGGATTAAATGCCATTTAAAATGAGTGTTTGTACGAGTCGATAGCGTAATTAGTTCCGGAGATATAGCGATTTTAGTTTCGCGTCGATGCGGTGGCTAGTTTCGGAGATAGGGTTTGTTTACGTTTCGTTGCGCTCGCGCGAGTTCATTGCTCTCGCGCGCGCTACGATAGTAAACAGTGCGTAGTAAATTCTTGGAAATACTACGGGAAACTAGGTCACGACAGTCACGTACGCGGGGTAGATCAGCACGATGCACGCGCGACAAAGAGGTCCGACGCGTCAGACGGAGACAGAGATAGCGGAATTAAAAAAATTACCTTTTACATAAATTACGATATCTCGAAAACGGAAAGTCCGATCGACAAAAACCAAAAGCCATTTTAAAGGGGAGGCTTTGCCGCTTCTAACAATCGCTCAATAATTAATAAAACATTAATAGTTCCGGAATTGCGCGTGTGTAAAGTTTAACTATTTTTAATACGCGTTGTCAGGCTGTTTTAAGACAGTCGAAACTGAAGATTCTCTCCTATTTACAACGGAAGTTAACCAGAATTTGGTACCAAATTTTATTCGGTTTTTCACAAAAAGATATAAATATGAATAGACGATAAAGAACGTTGGTGCGTGCGTACGGAGCCAAAAAATTGGCAATTTCGTTTAATCTAGGTTCTACTCTGTATATCAAATATTCAAATCGATGGGAGAGGCTGGGGTCGCGAGGACAGGCTGACGGGCGGATTAAAATCTCCCGAAACGTTTAATTGCCGACTTCGACGCGGTTGCGGAGCTTGTCAGGGTATCTGAAACGGATCTCGCGATTCGCACGCGAGACGGATCTGTCTTGAAGGGCGCGGAGGTGAAGCCGGAGAGGATAAGAGATCCACGAACGTAGGGACTCAAAGGGGCAGTGGCGAGAGGAAGGGCAAAGAGTGGGGTGAGAGGGTGAAGGTAGAAGGAGGCTGCGAACCCGAGGCGCGCTACGTTCGCTCGTTTTCTCGCGCGATCCTTTATACGAGGGGGCCCTTGCGAGAGATAAAGCCCGGTAAAAGTCCGGAGGCGCGTATCGCCGCGTTTCTCCGACGATTGTTATCTGCCGGCGATATATTAAGCGCCATTACCGGTATTTAGAAGGCGGCGCTGCCGTGGCAGCGCTGGTTGCCTCTTATCGAGATCGCCGAGCGTGAAACGTGCCGGACCACGGGCACGCAGCGATAAACGGGGGATTAGCCAGGCCGTTCGTTATCGAATTGAGCGTGATTATTCCGTGAGAAAGAAGTCCAAGTCCCCGAGGCCGCTGCATTGCGATCATTTCCGCGGGGGTCGACGCCGGGGGACCCCGCGTCCCGGGGATTCTTCCCGCGTTGCTCGGACGCTCCGAGGGTTGATCATTCTTTTTCTACACTCGGTTACTCCCGTTCGAGTTACCACAAATGAGAAGAAACTTGTTTCGTATGAATTTTTTCCCCCCATTCGCTTTTACCAAATGTTTTTATTACACCGTGTCACTTTGTATTTACGAAGTGGTGTTTTTTTTTATTTTTTATGATTGATGGGGGATCGAATTGAAATCAGGAGTCCCAGTAGAATGTTGACGGTGTTAATTGTTTGGTACCCTCTAGACGAGCGAATAGAAAAGAGGGATACTCGAATGTCAGGGACGTCCGCGGCGACCGAGATCGGAGAACCGGCCAGCTCCGTAATTTTCGACGCAATAAAGAATCGCGTATATGGAGATTCCATTACCGGTTCAGGTGTTTCAGGGTCGCGGGGTATTAAGGAAAGTTACACGGCACCTGACTGTCATAAAAGACCAGCAGCATGCCGAAGCTCGCGTCATCCGCGATCGTGCTTTCGTCGCCGTAGCCGCGGCCGGGATCGTTTTCGTAATTTCCAACAGCCACCAATGGCGGGCCTTAAAGAGCGACTCGCTAACGAGGGAGGAGGGCGAACGGGGGGGGGGGGAATATAGAAGGCGGGGAACTGCGATCGAGAATTGCGGATAGCAATGACACCCGTCGATGCTCGTGCCTTCCTCCGTCGCGGGGTCAAGCTCGACGCGACGTAGGAATAAGGAGGAGTGAGAGAGACGGTGGCGAGAGGGCTCCGGGAGGAGGTCAAGAGGCTGCCGGCACGCGGGGTTGACGGATAAACATAATGATTTAATGACCATTTCGTACGCGAACGACACAAACTTCTATGATCGCGGTGCCTAATGACACGGCACTTGCCACGAGGCTGCAATTATTTTGCGGCACGTTGGTCTCCAGTGACGTCACCGCTGGTACCTTCTCACGCCCTATGCCCGGCCAACGGAGAAAGTACACTCCGCCCTAGAACCTCCTCGTCGATCCGTGCCTCCTCGATCCTTTATCACGATTTCCCGATCGTCCTCTTCGTCCAAAGTCCCCGCGATTTTCGAGTCGCCAAAGACTACTATCTTTGGGCTCGTTCTATCCCTTGCAAAACACTAAAAGCGTTTGTTAAAATGGGCCCCTCATCTTGAGATAAAAGAATTTTCCATCGAAGAAACTTGTATCCAGAGTTGTGCCCGTCCCCGGGCCAGATCGCGATAGATCACCAGGGCGACAGGTCGTAAAAAATATTCACCTGCGGTCCGGTGACGCAACGTTCAGCGACCCGATCGACAGGCGATTTAAATAAAATATCAATTAACGCTGATGAAAAGCTCCCGCGCGTGTACCGGGGTCGTGTTCAATATAAATCAGATTGTATCGCCGGCGGTGCATCAGTTATCCGTCGTTGGATCTCGCAGTCTCGTTCGTTGGGCAATTATCGGCGATCCATCGACGCGGCGGAAAATGTCACCGCGCGCGCAAACGATCGTGCGTTGTTGTTTTTCCTCTTCTTCTTCATTTTTCCTCCCTCTGGTGTTCGCCTCCGTAGCAGGATAATTACATCCGCGCAGTCGAGAAATTCGATTCATCTCGATCGCGCCGGCAGATTAGTTTACCCGGGATGCGACGCTGTCAGCCCGGAAGAAAAATGATCCTCGGTTATGTCACTGACGTTCGCGCGGTTCCATAAATTGCTCGCTGAAAGAACTCGGCGTACGATCGCTCCCCGTCTCGCTCTGCCCCATCGAAACGGAATTACGCGCGTGCAATGGATGCCGCACACCTTGAGAGCGAGAAATAAACGTGATTGCACCGCGCCGCCCGGCGACGATAAATTTTCTATTGCGCCGCGACGTTAATATACATTTGAATGATAACGCTACGGCGGAAGATTCCCCGATGATTGTGGAACGTTTTGCAGATGTTTTAACGATGATTGTCTCGATGCTCGTGGCGATCGACGATCGTCGAGGATCGTCGACGAACGGCGGCCTCTACTCGCGATTTAATTTCATCGTTAATGGAGAAGAGGATGTTCGAGGCCGAACCGGTAGTCGGAACCGAGTTGTTTCATCGAGTTTTTATTCCGTACGCTTTATGTATATTTTTTATACGCAACGCGATGACGGATCGTTTCGACCTGTCGACCGAGTAAGACGAATTAACTCCTCGTTTCAACCGATTCGACAGTTGCTGAGTTGTTTATAAGGTAAACATTTTTTCGACAGCGATTTGGTAATGCCCCTGTCAAGATTTATACGATCGATGGCGTGTCTTTTCTTATTTTAGCGAACTATTTTTATTCTCTGATTGGAAACAGGAAATTGGTAAAATTGCATAGTTTCAGTCTTTTCTCTTAAATTTGAGTTATCGTATTTAAAAATAAAATTTTAGAAACTTTAAAATAGACTAAATTGGCCAGCGCATCCCGTATGTATAAATAAGTGTAGCAACGAGTCAGAGACGAATGAGAAGATGGAACTTCAATGAGAACAATCCACCCACGTGGCGGCGTTTAATAAAAATCATACCCAACCGAGCGTGAATGTATTCAATCCTCTCCTCGGTCGGAGATCTAACGATTCGAAGAGTCGTTTCCATCTTGCGATATCTCGATCAGCTTAATTTACGACGCGCCTCGGCGCCCGTCTAGAAAACGATTAATATCGTCGACCCGATCTAACCACCGTTTTCGTTAATTTCGGGGATTTCACCGGTCGACTTTTCGAAGCATTTATCGCACGATGGATCACGAGCCCAGCTTCCACTAAATCGTCTAGGTTTTGGTAGATCTGGAAAATCTAAAGAGGTCCATCGTCGCGACATTTAATCATATTAATTTACGAATTAAGGATGAAAGTTTGTTGCGAGACCAAGCGTTTATAGAGATTTCAGAGTTTCGTGACACGTTAAATCCATCGGTCTAGCGATCTCCTAGGAGACATACCTCGGGAATTTCTGTTGAACACTCTGAAACCAGTTTAGTATGACACAGTTGCAGAGGGCTCGAAATCTGAGATGCATATTTAAGATGAAGGAGAACTAATGAGGCATATAGAGTTTCCAAGATCCGAGGGCGTTTAAAGTCAGCGGAGTGTCGGATAATAAAGCCTAGGGCTTTAGAGGCAATGTTCTTTACACGCTGGAAAGGAGGGAGTCGAGGTTTAAGTGACTCCAAGATCGAGCACTTCCTCCGCCACATTCGGTCCAATATCGTTAATCGACTACTAAAATTCAACTATGTTTCTTTACTTCGACGGGGTTTTGATCAATACTGGGTATTATAGAAATATAAGATAAGACCTCCAAGTTTTAAATAAAATTAGGAAAGCATCGTCCAAAAATAATGTCTGATTATTGCTCTGGTCTTTAATAATGTAAAAGAAATAATACCTTGCCGTTTCTCCGAGTTGCAGAGTTTCAGTTTCGTTCTGGAGAAATGGTCGAAACGGGGCAACCTCACGTATGCACAGAAATCGTCGGAGTTCCGTTTAATCGACAAGAAATTGCTCCGGCATCAAGATCGTCGCCGTGGGCGTTCCTCGCATCAGAAATTACGAGACTCGCGTCCTCGATGTCGTCCTCTCTTTTCGTCCCTCGCGAAGGGTGTTCGTCCTCGCCCCCGAGCCGGCAGAAGCATAAATTTCACCGGTATCGTTCTCTTTCGTTCTTTCCCCCTGGTAAGCTGGCTGCGCCCCGTGGCTTTTAACGTGGACCAGAAACGAACGGACACAAATCAGACGGCTCGTCTACGCG